ATAGGAAAGGAATTCATTATTCTGACTGATAACTTAGGCCTGACAAAATTGTTAACAATGGATGCAACAAATAACGCAAGAGTATACAGATGGGCGTTATTATTATCCCAATTTCAGTTAAAGAAAGAACACATTAAGGGCATTGAAAACCATCTACCCGACGTGATGTCCAGATTATAAACATAGATTCAATTTTGTATTGTATGTATTACCTGGGGAAATCCTGAATTACAGGAAAGAATATGGTTGAATGAATGAAATATGTAAACATAGCTTAACTGATGATTTTTATGTATGTTACATTTGTAAGTAAGTAACAATATACGTGTGACAATGGTGACTATAATGAGGAGAATGATGATGACGATGAGATGAATATGATGACAATAACGCTGATAACGACAACAACAATGATGATGATGATGATGATGATGATGATGATAACGATGATGATGATGACAATAATGATGATGATTATGACAATGAAGATGTTACAGCATGTTGAAATAAGGTTTAATAATGATTACATATGTTGTTTAGATAAATTTATTGGTGAAAATATAGGTTGTAAAACATGTAATATGGTAATTACTATGATATAGAAAGGGAATAACAATACTTTTTCGGAAAAGTAATGGTTAATTTACACCACATAATCCAAGGGATTGAGTTCGAAATCCTAAATAGGGAAACATAGGTTTCTAATTGAAACGTAAACCAGTGACAGTAGCCATGAGTCCAACGGTGAGGGTGGGACTTTGCGGGTTTTCTACATTTCTGTTCCATAGCCGATATGGACTTCAGTACTTGAAAGAGAGTACCAGAATTGTTGTTCTGTTTTATACAGACTGTGGGATGGCATGGGGTTAATACGCAGAGCCTATATGGACTACCGCACTTGGAAGAGAGTGCCTGAATGGTTGTTTCCCATTAAGCCACTTGGTACTTATTGGTACTTATAACTGGTAATGTGACAAAGGGAAATAATGTAAAACCTATCAAAAGGGAAGTAACCATTAAAACCCAAAATGATTATTAGGTAATCCACATCATTACATTAAAGTATTCCCAAACCTTTAAAATTATAACCTAAAGATAAAGTAATAGAAAAAAAAAATTTACAAAAAAAATTTTAAGGGTAAATTTTTTTTTACTAGAAGGGAGGGGGAGATTGTAATGTTGTGAATTCCCGGGGAAACCCCAGAGAGTTCCCGATGGGGAGAAAAAGGTCGGAGGACCCGTGAGAGAAGAGAAAAACGGGAGAAGTGAGTCTCGTGTGTCTCATGGTAAACGAAGTGAGAGACACAAGAAAAGCATGAGACGTGAACGGAAGACGTGAACCGAGAGACTGAAGTAAGAGAGTTGAAGTTCTGCCCTGACTGAGAGAGGACGCGTGAATGAACGCCTGAGAAGAATAAATGATTTGTGAAGTGAACGTTATATTTCAATAGGAGGACTGAATGTTTTTCCATACGTCGTAATGTCAGATATCAGAGTCCATGAAGTATAGATGGATGGTTCGAGAGGCGCTAATAGATTCCTGTAGTGTGTGGGAAGTCCGTCCAGGTCGCTAGATTCAGCCAAGCAAGTCGAGCACGAGGAAGCATGAATGTATGTTTGCGATAACTGGAGATTCAACGAATAAAAGTAAAGAACTCAATGTTCGTTCATGCTGTGTCGTTTCAACTCACTGTTCGTCTGAAAGCAATGTAAACAATTCATGCCCCTAGATGAGCACATTACACCCTCGTTAACATGAATCCAGTTCATATTTAAGATATTTCTGCTTATCTGCTTACCAATAGGAATAATACCTTCATGCTGAAGCCAACATTTTATTCGTGTTAACCGAGTGTTCTTCTTAAGCAAGTTCATGTTACCAAGGTTAACTGTAATTACTGTTTTTTGTTTAGCTTATTGTTGTTATTATTATATATAATATTGTTATTATGCAGTTTAACAAGGTGTGTGTGGGTCCTTTGACACCAGAGACCTAAACAAATTATAATGGGATCTCGGTTTGTTGTCTTTGTGGCGGCACTCCTGAGTCCAAAGTATCTGACTGTACAAAGTGGAAGCATCAGATCAGACAGCTTGTATTACATTGTGAGAAGCCAACAACTTCCATTCTTATGGGACTACAAAGATGATGATGAATATATGTCAATACAGATTTCTCTGTATGGGCCTTATTCTTCATCTTTGTTTGTTATTACCAGGCTATAGCCCAGTGTTATGGTTTTGTCATCTCACTGATACCAGGTTGTAGCCCAGTGTTGTAGTTTTGTCATCTCACAGATACCAGGTTGTAGCCCAGTGTTATGGTTTTGTCATCTCACTGATACCAGGTTGTAGCCCAGTGTTGTGGTTTTGTCATCTCACTGATACCAGGTTGTAGCCCAGTGTTGTGGTTTTGTCATCTCACAGATACCAGGTTGTAGCCCAGTGTTGTGGTTTTGTCATCTCACAGATACCAGGTTGTAGCCCAGTGTTGTGGTTTTGTCATCTCACAGATACCAGGTTGTAGCCCAGTGTTGTGGTTTTGTCATCTCACAGATACCAGGTTGTAGCCCAGTGTTGTGGTTTTGTCATCTCACAGATACCAAGTTGTAGCCCAGTGTTGTGGTTTTGTCATCTCACAGATACCAGGTTGTAGCCCAGTGTTGTGGTTTTGTCATCTCACAGATACCAAGTTGTAGCCCAGTGTTGTGGTTTTGTCATCTCACAGATACCAAGTTGTAGCCCAGTGTTGTGGTTTTGTCATCTCACTGATACCAGGTTGTAGCCCAGTGTTGTGGTTTTGTCATCTCACAGATACCAGGTTGTAGCCCAGTGTTGTGGTTTTGTCATCTCACAGATACCAGGTTGTAGCCCAGTGTTGTGGTTTTGTCATCTCACAGATACCAGGTTGTAGCCCAGTGTTGTGGTTTTGTCATCTCACAGATACCAAGTTGTAGCCCAGTGTTGTGGTTTTGTCATCTCACAGATACCAGGTTGTAGCCCAGTGTTGTGGTTTTGTCATCTCACAGATACCAGGTTGTAGCCCAGTGTTGGGGTTTTGTCATCTCACAGATACCAGGTTGTAGCCCAGTGTTGTGGTTTTGTCATCTCACAGATACCAGGTTGTAGCCCAGTGTTGGGGTTTTGTCATTTCACTGATACCAGGTTGTAGCCCAGTGTTGGGGTTTTGTCATCTCACAGATACCAGGTTGTAGCCCAGTGTTGTGGCTTTGTCATCTCACAGATACCATGTTGTAGCCCAGTGTTGTGGTTTTGTCATCTCACAGATACCAAGTTGTAGCCCAGTGTTGGGGTTTTGTCATTTCACTGATTATCAGGTTGTAGCCCAGTACCGTGGTTTTGTTCTCAATGATACCAGGTTGTAGCCCAGTGCCAGTTTTTCTCGTCTCCCTAAAACCAGATTGTAGCCCAGTGTCTGGTTTTCTCATCTCACTGAAACCAGATTGTAGCCCAGTGTCTGGTTTTCTCGTCTCACTGAAACCAGATTGTAGCCCAGTGTCTGGTTTTCTCATCTTACTGAAACTAAATTGTAGCCCAGTGTCTGGTTTTCTCGTCTCACTGAAACCAGATTGTAGCCCAGTGTCTGGTTTTCTCGTCTCACTGATACCAGGTTGTAGCCCAGTATCGCGATTTTGTGTATTTTACTTGCGCTTCTCGAGTAGCTTGGGTGATAGATTTTTCATCTTTTTGCAGGTTTCTGCTACAACATTTATCCATTTCTTTCTTGGTCTTCCTCTTGCCTTCCTCCCAGATGTTCTACTGTAAAAAGTCGCATGTGCAGTTTGGTCTGGCTGCGGTCACACTAGATGGCTAAACTACGGGGCTCATTGAGGATGGAAATATATTTTATATGGTTCCATAAAAAAAGAGTGTTGGTTTTTAAGAAACAACTTAGATTGGTTAGTAGGTATGTAGGTCGATCGACAGACATGTAAGTAGGTAGGTGTACAGGTCGATCGACAGACATGTAAGTAGGTAGGTGTGCAGGTCGATCGACAGACATGTAAGTAGGTAGGTGTGCAGGTCGATCGACAGACATGTAAGTAGGTAGGTGTGCAGGTCGATCGACAGACATGTAAGTAGGTAGGTGTGTAGGTCGATCGACAGACATGTAAGTAGGTAGGTGTGCAGGTCGATCGACAGACATGTAAGTAGGTAGGTGTGCAGGTCGATCGACAGACATGTAAGTAGGTAGGTGTGCAGGTCGATCGACAGACATGTAAGTAGGTAGGTGTGCAGGTCGATCGACAGACATGTAAGTAGGTAGGTGTGCAGGTCGATCGACAGACATGTAAGTAGGTAGGTGTGCAGGTGCCTTCGCCTAAACAGTTGGGGGTGAGGGCTAGGGGATGGGAGTGTCAGCCCCTTACAAATTTTCAAGATGGGAGTTCGAGGGGCCTTGGCTTTCTTTACGTTTGTACGAAAAATCATGAAAATGTATTGATTGGCGAATAAATATTGCCCCTTGCAATTTTCTGGGGATCTGGCGCCCCTGATAATGACGAGTACTGCATTATATATTAATTAGATTCCTCTGAAGTAAAGTAAAGGACTCTTGTCTGCGTTGTTAGGCATATAGGGCTAAGCCTACATTTTATAGAATAATCGGCACAAGATTCGTGATGTGGACAGCATCACGCCGGACGCCTTTACTTCCCGGAACTGCACTCGGTACCCACTCAATGTTGGATCGACCTGGGAACCAAGTTCATTTTTGATAAAAGTCTGACTCCGCCAGGGAGCAAACCCACGACCTTCCTATCCGCGACGAGCGTCTAGCCGCTCCGCCAAGGCGACTACCAGATTCCTCTGGAAGGTAGTTTTATCAATCGTTTTATTAAACAAATATTGAACTCACACATCTAACAAAGTCATGGAATGG